AACCGGACTGCTCAGACTTAAATTTGTTGTAAAGCGTCCCCGATTGTTTAGTTCAAAATTCGACCAAAAGATGCACAATTCGAAGACCTACAATGCTATATCAATTTTGTAAAAGTTATTCTTTTCCTTCTCTAGAAACGAGGTCTAAAACTTCATACCGTGCTAAGTAAAAGCTACACTATCACTAGGATAGTAACTTACTACCCTAGTTCAAAACAACTGGCAAAACCATGAATTCTGGAATATGAACCATCTACTTCACATTTATTTGGAAAACCAAACATACTTCATGCATTCGATGTGAGATTTTTCTGTTGATTTTTTATCACTATATACTCTTTTCGTTCTTGTTTAAACTTTAACAGGTATTCAATTTGCTCGCGGTTATATGAAGATTTTATTTTTGATTGTGACGAATTTGAAGTAGAAGAAGGCGAGTCATCGACAACTTCAGATTCCGAGTTAGAATTATCGACATTTTCCTTTTCGACATTTTTCCTTTCGATATTTTCCACCAAGACCGAGGTGAACAACATGAAAAGCGCAATTTTTTTCTCTTTGTAGTTCGAACTTGTTCTGTTCACTGAATTCAAAATTTTGACAAAAACAAGGTCATATTCGGAATCAGGATCAAAAACTGGGTCGAATGACCTGGGCCTCAGGATTTTGGGAATATTTGGAGTTTGAGTGGAAATTTTAGTTTCGGATTTTTGGAAAAAACGAAAAACTTTGAGATCATTTAAAATTCGTGAGACCCATGTTATTCGACCCAGTTTTTGATCCTGATTCCGAATATGACCTCGTTTTCATCAAAATAGTGAATTTTGACCGAGAAAATAGCAAAGGACAGTCCCAATGTCAAAGAGTTCTTCACTGAATTCATAAAAATTGAATTTTTCGAAACAAAGTAAAGTTTTTCATTACCGATACATACATTTTTCTCTCATAAGTGAATCAGTTAGAATGAAGTGTGAAAGAAAATTTTATCTTCCAAATCCTAGGGTTAGATAGGTTTCCAAGATTGGTCAGCGGGCCTTTTACTATCCTGCTCGTCTTTAACAGTTTTCAAAGTCAATTTTAGTTTTAAAATTTCCAAAATGTGTTTTCCAGACCCAGTTTTCGATGGAGAGTAAGAAAAAAATTATTTTGGAATTTTAAATGTCACTCCCCCTTAAAGTCTACAGGCGTGGACATTTCATTATTGGACATGGTCAAAGCAACTTGACAGAAAATTTATTTTCCTGTATAATTATACAAAGGATCCTTATAGCAATAGTAATCAACCACTGCATTTAAAAACCTTTGTATGGGTAAAAAAAAGAAAAAGTTGTTAAAAGCTTCAATAATTTTCAGCTCTTTAGTTTTAAAACTTAATTATCTTGGTCAAGATCTGTACAACGAAAACTTCTTTTTACAAATTGATAGCTGATGAAGTCTTTCAGGTTGGAACAAAATCCAGTTTGATACAATTATTCGTTATTTCTGTATATCGATTTTATCAATGTCCACGCCTGTGGACATCTGGAGTAAAGGGTTAAGTTAAGTTTTATTTTACGCCAAGGTACATATCACAAAGAAGTTCAGTGGCTTGTAGCAACCGTAGATGCTCTAGGATAACCTTTTAAGAGCCATTGCACGGTAGACGCAACCTAAGTTATTCAGTCGATGTTTGAGGTTTCCGCTCAAAATTTTACAGCAGCTAGCGGCAACGTATGTAGAAAGATTCCCAAAATTTTCTAATCAAGTCTTACTCTCTTCAAAAGTTATGAAGTTTTAATCCAAGGAGAATCTCTTCTATACACATACTGAAAAATAAAATAAATAAATATAGATCAAACATATTGTGATTATATATGAAGTTACCGAAAGCATGCCTTACATGATCGCTCAGCATATTTTTAAATGTGAATAAAGAAGACTGACACTCTAAAACAGAAGGGAGTTCATTCCATCAGCGTAGTTTTTTTTGGTTGTTTTGTTGCGATGTCCAGTTCAGTTCTATCACGGTAACAGACTAGTTATTAAGATACGTTTTTTATCACTGAAACTTTCGATCGTTCTTTATCGAGGCAGAAGAGTTAGTCGAGAATTATATAATTATAAATGGACGATATCGCGATAAAGTCAAAATAAATAAATAGCTTGTTGCCGCAATAAAACGCCAAAAATGAACTTAGTTTATTTATAAAAAAATTGTGATATAATAAATGCCACTCGTTTTTTGTATCGAAAAGATGGTAACGGCGGGATAATCGCTATATTTATCGCAATTTTTGATTTATAAAACTACATGGACAATGTTTTGATGTTCCAAGAAGAAAGAGTTAGAAACAGATTTTGACTTTAAACGGAAAACGAAGTCACAAACATTTTGGTTTCTCTATATTGTTCAATTAGTGCTATAAAAGAGAGTTTGACTGTTAGTTTTCTCATTATTCGAAATATTTTTGATATACAGTTTGAAAATAAACCAACTTTAACATTTTTTATGATTGATGAAAACGAATTTTTCATGGAAAAATTGATGAATTATTGTTTATTCAGAAACTTGAGCGCCTATATACACAGTCAGAATAAATACAAGTATAATCAGTTTCTAGACATGTTTTAACAATGATAAACGAGAAGAAAAGTGATTTTAATCTACGTATAACAAATGATTTGAAACTATGAGAGATGAACGTACATAGGTCTGAAAACTTTATCAGCGATGTCTTGTGGTATTGTTCATTTTTAATAAGGAAGGGTAAAGGCTAATATATGTTATCTAATCAGAAGAACATACAAATATAGATCTTTCATAAATGACACCAAAAATATGAATGAAAAATTTTAGTCCGTATAATGATGCAGTAGTCTTCTCTATAAGATGAAGTGCTGCTTACAGATTTTACCGTGTCAGAGGATATATTTGAAATACCACTTAAAAGAATATGCCGTGTGCACGGGGACTTCTGCACATGTCTTGTTAAACAAAACATGAATTATGTGCTGAAATATGCCTTGATACCATGTGCTTCAGTTCCAAGAGATATATCTTTGACAATTGAGTGGCTTGAGTTCAAGCAGGATATACCGATTCGTGATACTCAGGGTGACGATTCTTTTATTATGACATATCAGAAGATATCACGAGATTTAACCTCTCAGTTTAATCTTGAACCGTATTTAACTGTGCTCCTTATACTCATGCACTTTAATTATACTCAACTGATGTGCGAAGTTGAAGAAATTTTAAAATCAATTTATAAGAACCATATTGTATGTATATACTACATATGATAACAGAATTTATATTGAACGGAAAAGTTATAGCTTTTTAAACCTTGTAACATCTTATCACTTCTTAGAACCTGTCCGTGGATATCCTTATGACAATGCATCACAAGAATACACAATTTCTTGGGTGGACAAAACAAAGAAACAACAGATTTTGTATAATCCTGGTAGACTAAACTGTTGGCAACACATCGAAAACTGTTCGTTGGGTTATCGAGGGTGCGCTGAATACAAAATAGAACTTTCCCGCGACTCTGCACGAACTTTATTTTTCTGTCGAGGATAAGTCGATCAGGCACACTAAAAAAGACACACATAAATGACACATTCGAAATGTAATGCAACATGATAAACATTTGTGGTCGACGAGAGTACTTTTTTTTCTCAATATCATCTATAAGTTGGGTAAGGAAAAAAGAAATATGTTACTACAGTAAAATTATGACTGTATTTGGCAAACCTGTTTTTAATTACAGATATTCCGTTACTTTTTGTTTCGATATAGCTTAACCAGTCAGGAATGAATTCTCGTTCTAACGTATATCTGTCTATGTTAAAGCAGAAAAGAAATATAAGAGTGAAATCCGATATGCTCTTTTAATTGTTGTTACAACAAAGTTAGTGTATGTGTCAATTTCTTTTAGTTCATATTGATTATAAATATATTGATCTTCGATCATTCTGACTTTAATTGATTGATTTTTATCTTAGACTCAACTTAAGTTTATCTTCAAACAATACAACGTTTTTTGTCCTCTAACTGTTTAAAATCCGGTGTGAATGGACGATTATTTACCAACTTTAAAAACTGTTTGCTTTTTGAATGTACATGTTATTATAAAGCAAGAACTATATATTATTTCTTTTAAATATGATTAAAAGTTTAGAGATTATTGATCTTGTTTCTCTTGTGGTAACTGGGAAAGAGGTTTTGTGAAGTCGTAAAAATTACCACTGAAAATTTTATTCAATTCCAGCTACGAGTGAAAATGGACATGACATAATGTAACTAGGTCTATCCACTAAACACTCATAATAACCGACAGACTAATCGGCGGCAACTGATTCTAAAAGTTTTCTAATCACAAATGGATTCTAAGAATTTGAAAAAAGGGTTTTTATCTTCGGCTGCATCGATGCAAACTTCTAAAAAACGTTTTTTTGAGGTAAAAAGTTCGTTTTTTACAATATCATTCACCTACTTAGCTGTTCACGATCTTTTTTCAACCATACGCACTAATGCTATATATAGTCATCGACAAAAGAAAATGTTTTGTAGAATTCGATCCCATGATTAAAATATGTAACATTATGCGTTTTAATTCTTTGTTATAGTAGTGTTTTTTCATCAGTATTGTTTATGCACTCCGACACTCTCACAGAGGGAATTAAAATCAGTTTGATTAAATGTTTATACAATGAAAAAAGAATGACAATATGATGTAAAATTATTTGTTTTTGATCACTTAACATATCAAAAGAAATAATCTGCGACGAGTAGCATGATAAGACGCACGTTTCAGGTCAATTTCAACAGCATTTGGCTTATTCTTTTTTTCACAAAATGGATTCGAAGCTCCAGTTTAACATCGTGGATGGAGAAACATAGAACAAGCTTCTAGCTATATGATACCGAATCAGGGAAAACCTTCAAAGAACGTTTTTCAACACATTGTATTCGACTAGGCAGAAACTTACGGATTGAAGGGTACGATACGAATATGTTGCTTTGTCACATTACCTTTGGGTATGTGTTTCAAGTTGAATCGATGGAAAGTTAGTTTCTTTTGAATAGAAATGATGTCAACAATCGCTTAAACAATTTCTGTATTCAACTTACGGCTTCTACACAAAAAAACGCATTACTGCATTTGGTAAGCGAGGAGAGTGTGAGAAAACACATCAATGACTTTGTGTGATATTCAATGACGAAGACACATACTCAAGAGGAGAATTAGTGCTACGTAGAGAAAGATCATTGCTGTTCTTTCTGCAACTTGGTTTTTTAGGGATTTTCGAAAACTACAAAAACATAGTAAAACATTTGTCGGATATAAAAATATATTATTTGGTGCATATAAGGTAAAAATGCAACACATGTTAACCGATTGTAATCTAAAGATTTTGTACAGTTCAACAGCGGATTCAGAGAATTTTTTATACTATGGCGGCGTACAACGAAAATTTTTTCATGGTGATAGCAACGATATGTTCCGCATAATTCTACTATTGGTAGGAATTTATCAAACGAACTTCTTTAGGATTACAACGCGTATAATTTACTTAAACCGAGCAAACAGGACAACAATGGAAAATCGCACATGTGCAAACGGCTTTTCAATAAAAAGTTTTCAGTGTCTTTTAGTCTGCTCTAAGAGTGTTCAATAGAATAGTTTGAGTAATGAATGCATTTAAACTTTTCTAAAAAAAGACATTTCATATTCTCTGTTAAAGACAAGAATCTACTACTTGTTACATTTCCCAGACGTTTTGTTTTTCTTCCACAAAAGTACAATTTTTTAATAAGTGAAGGTCTAAACAAATTAATTTTCAAGAAAAAACGTGAAAAATAATTAAATATGTCTAATTAATATGAATAATCTATACACTTCATAGAATATGTTACATGTTTTGACGCGGCAGGTGTTTAGTTTACAGAAACTGTTATCATTCATAAATCACTTTCTTATCATAGCCTTTAAGATAATTTTAGTAGTTTAACATGATAAACGAGACAATACGAATTTTATTTGCCATTTTTCTGCTTCTTCATTCTGATTTCTGTTCTTTTTTTACATTTTAGATTAGAACTGACAAATAAATGATTTTATTTTGGTGTCGACAGAGAGAGAAGATATCTACTATGTACATTGGTTGAAAGAAGACAACATTGTAAATGTTTCTCGTTATCAAATGATGCTTGTTATAGTAGATAATCAATTACATTCAGTTATGAAGGAAAGACAAAGATTATAACTAATATTCGATCTAATACCTCAGTTTCCTAAAACTATCTGATACCGAAATTTCTGCTTAGTATATATACTGCTTCACTTATCTTATTGTGCGGTTTCACAGAGAAAAAACGTTCAATCCAATGATCGATGGCTGGCTAATGCAGACTTTTTTAGATCACAATAATATTTAAAGAAAAACTTAGTATACACTTGACTTATGATAAGTTTCCCTGGTTCGCTCTAAAATTCTAAATTTGTTTAGTTCTTAAACTACCTGCAACCATTCCGATTTGTTATGGATAGTAATTCGATTACTTAGAACAATGATATAGTCTTTCTTCATTCTGAGAGTAAAACAACTCACTTCACTAATCTTAACTTAAAAACTTTCCAAAAAAATACTTGAACAAAACAGAAATGTACGTTCTTGTCTACATTCTGACCTTTAAACAACTTGACTGTAAGATTTTTACCAGAGTGGTATACGTTCTGATATCTTACTCTTATTTCTGTTTTCTTGAGATAAAAAAGCGTCATTTATAACGGTAATTATACTATTTCCGTTGACATTTATTATGTTTTTAACTGTGATATTGTAACGATTGGTTCTGTGAATTATTGTTTCTCAACTATTTGTAACCAATGAGACGTATTTCTACGTTGAGAAAATAATCATCAGTACAATTCAGCCATTCAAAGTGAATATAGAAACGGAAGAAAAAGAAGAAGAAGAAATATGCAAATGCATTTTTTTTATTATATACGAATCTAGTAAAACTAATGAAATTCGTTTCATAGGTCACCAAATTGAAGAAATGGAAGAAAGAAGACACAATATTAGTTATTAATAGAGAATAATATATCCAAAAGACATTTTTTTCTCGCTTTTTTATTATTTGTCATACAGATTTGTGCTCATAATAGTGTATACACATATATCATCTTATTTCAACCTTGTAACTCGTTTTTCTTTCTGCCTTCAATAGAGTTTTACACATTTGCATGATACAGTAACAAAACGTGAAAGAGAAGAGATCAATTCGATTATTGATTTCTTTATAACGTTTTACAAATAGGTGAATATTAGTTTGAATTCCATTGAAACTTTTACAGACAGCGACTAATTTCATTCACCAATCAACGGAACCGTATGAGCGGTAATGAAAAGGTTTTTGAAAGTGTCGCTCGCTCCACTGTCTGCTGGACTGAAAGTGTGTTGATTTCAACTCAGATTCTTAGTTTATTCTGACAAATATTTTTATGATTAATCAAGTATAAACCATCAACATAAACAAAAAGTTAAATATTTAAATTTTTTTTTTAGTTGGCTATGCGTTTGAGTTACAATTATACTATAGTTAAATTACCTAGTACCTCAGAAAATTCAAAGCTATAGAAGCAAAGAAAAGGGATAAAATGGAATTCTAACAAAAATCTTTTTACAAAAATTCGATACAAATGCTCTAGAAAAAAAAAGTAGCTATGATTATATTAATTCAAATATATAGGTTTTAACCAAATGAGTCTACAATATTTTCTTTTTACAGAATTTATCTCGATCAAAGGATTAATGAACAAAACGTAGAAATTATGTCTCAACATAGTCCCATTTGTGATAATAGTGACTCATCGAGTTTCTGTTCATCAAATTCTGAACAGCATATCGGTGGCATGTACAATACCGCCAGATACAATCTTAACAATCCCCAACATCACAATAATAATAATTGTTCAAATTTACAAAACCATCATACATCCAATCAAAGTGTATGTTCAAGTTCACCTTATTCATTGAAATACGAAAAAAATACATATGAATCAGTAGGTATTTCCTGTCATTTTCGATTATTATTATTTCTCATTTTATTGCTTTCTCAGACGCCTGTAGCAAGAAATATACCAGAAAATAATCTAGTAAGTGAACACATACCATCTATTGTTACAGTTAAACATATTTTATATGATTTTTATTCAAAAAAAAGGTTCGCATTGTTGATTATCGTGGTACTAAATTAACATCATTTAACGTTGATGGAAGAGAATTACTATGTTTACCGCAAGCATTTGATCTATTTTTAAAACATCTGGTCGGAGGTCTACACACCGTATATACAAAATTAAAACGATTAGAAATCATCCCTGTAGTTTGTAATGTCGAACAAGTAAAGAGTAAAGATTTACACATCGAAAAATGTATTTAGACATATATTTTTCTTTTGTCTAGGTAAGAATCTTACGCGGTCTCGGTGCAATTCAACCAGGCGTAAACAGATGTAAACTAGTTGCTCCAAACGAGTTTGATATTTTATACGAAGATTGTACAAATTCTGGGAAAGTATTATATGTCTTCCTGTTTTAAAGTCTTTCTTTTAAATTTAAAAATTCTCTCTCTTCCTATTTGTATGCAAAATTATAAGAAGAGTGTAATGGATCTTGATTATACACATTCTTTCTATTTAACTCATTTGAGATAAATAATTTGCATAAATAAACACATTTTCATTTATTTTTATTATTTTCCCTCGAATATATTTGTCTTGTGATTAACTGTAATTATAAGCTACAGCTGAAGGAGTAAAAAAGAGCACTAATATGCTGATTATACGACAAGATCGTTCTTTATGGAAATTACACTATGAAAAATGATGTACCATATTTATTTCTCGCATTATCTTTACAAACAAGTCCTCATGGTTTTGTAGTCATTCAACATATTTTCTTGAGAATACTGAATTGAAGAAAATATTAATATTCATTGGAGTTCTCTCCCGATTTATTTCATACGACGTACGATTGCTCATTTTCGATTTTTTTGAGTAAATACTATTATATATTACTATCGACCAATAGTATTCAATTGAGCACTTTTTTCTCAGAATCAGAGATACTTCAATTGAGTAGTAAAGTATACACTATTTACTCTCAAATTTAGAGTAATTGCAGTTGTTTTTGTTTCCCTTTTCATATAAACATATCCATATTCGATGAAAAGTACGTTTTTTAATGTAACACTAACATAGATTAAGATTTAGTCCGAAACTAGCGTGCCCTTCTGGTCTGAAAGTGTTAATATCGTTCCGCTGCCCAGAATCTAGGACTCTCTTCGAGTATCAAATTATCGATCTTCGATACGTCAACATTTATTAAAAAGCAAGGAGTTTCTTCTTCTTCTAGAAAATAACTCAAGAATTTAACAACAACTGAATTTTCCCTAGATATTCATTAACATACACACACATTAGTTTCTAGTGTATGAGAGAAAATAATTATTAACATGAAATTTGACATCTTATCATTGAAATTTAATAGAATAACCCAAGCAAATCATAGTTTTAAAAATGTTTTACACAAAGTGAATCTCTTTGAGAAATAAAGGTGCTCGATAAGTTTTTAGTTATTATCATTATCATTGCAAAAACACTTGACATTTTATCATCCTCATCATTTATTACTTTACTGTTAAACCAACTGTAAAGTGTTTTGCTTTGATAATGAAATGAACAACCAAAAAACAAATTTCATTTGTGTACGAGACGAAACCATACACGTATCATTTAATAACACTATTATTTTTCTTCTTCTTTTATCCTCTATCGAGGTGGAATAATCAGGAATATATACCTATTAGCTTACAGTTCACTGTTTTTTGAGAGATTATATGACTTGCTTGTCAGAACTAACTGGTTCAAATTAAAGAACCATTTATTCACCTATAAGAGATATGCTAGATTATAAACGTTGATTAGAATATTGAAAAAAGAAGAGAAAGACTTTTTATCATTGAATATTATGACAAACAATTTAAATAGATTTTTGTTGGTTTAGCTCTAGGCCTGGTCGACCACCAAAACGAAATCCATTAATGTTGGATAGTTACCAAGATGAAAAACGAGCTAAATTATCAGCCAATTTTTTATTACGAACATTTCCAGAATTTGCTGCTCAAAGTAAATGAATATACACATTTTAACTTGTAAAATAACATCGTCTTTTTTCTAGCTCTTAAATATCCTGTTTACAATAGTTTTATTCCGTATTCATCTAATGATGGAAACAATGTTCAGCCGTTTGTTCACTCGTATAGTTATTCGGCATTTTCACCCACTGTACCACGTGGTATTGGTTTTCTATCACAAGCAACAGATCATAGTAATGATAGCAATACTATAGATTCAAAATTTCCTCAAAAACACGAACAGCATCTTCATCATCCACATCTAAATACATTACAACATCATCCTGACGACACACTAAGGTAAAATTTGACCATTTATTCTCAGATAAACTACGTATCCTATATCATTTATTGCCATTTTTAGATTGAAACTAACTTCTAGTTCAGACTTAAAAGTACCATCACCATCGTATAAAAATCTTCTCTCGCGTAAGTACATGCACTTTCTTTCCTTTTGCAAAGAATAGACTTTTATTCTGCTCTTTTCTTTTCCAAGTTGAGCAATAGGCTATTTCAATTAACACCTTATTATAGAGTGACATATTCAATTAGAAACAAAAGAGAACTAAACAAAACATTTTTTAGTGATATCAAATATCTTCTCAACTGTGTGTGTGTCTTAAATACACGGATAAGAAAATATTTTTGTTAATCTTAATTATATAAGGGTCTCTCTCTCTCTCTATAGAAAGGAAAAGATGATACACATTTCAATTCTGAGTTCGTTATGGTGTAAAACATTATAGTTAAGGCGAGGTATTGACATCGAAAACTATTCCCTATCAGCACTAGAGTAGAAGAACAAGTCGTGTGCCAACGATCTGTTCGTTGATTGAACCAATACACGACTGACAAATAAAATAATTTTTCTTGTTGTTTGCGAAACAAAGAAAATCTTGAACTTTTACAAGAAAAAGAAATGTTTTGATGTGATAATTAAACATTTTTATCAGTTAGGCGGTAGAAAACAGAAAAAAGCACTTGTAAAACGAGTCTACCAAGAGATATTTATTCAATTAAAAATTCGCTTGATGAACTAAAGAATATTTTCATTTTTAATTATACTCATATTTCAAAAGTGAAGAATGATGGTTACTAATTTCTTATGTAACAACTACATCAAGATATATTATTATTTATTGCCTATACACCCTAAAAATGACTCATTTAGGCCTTTGTTTCTGTCTACTTTTTTAAATCTATTAGGATTCTACCAACATTTGTTTTCTTTCAACTCATATCCATTCGACATTTAAAAGAGTGAAATGGCTAACAACACACAGAAATCACTGAGTTCGTTAGTGAAGGTGAAAACTTTCGGACATGTTGTTGTTTTTTGCTTCAAGTGTGTATATCAATTTGTATAGAATAATCCTCCATAGATGGCTAACGGTAGCGTTTATTTTTCAATGATATTCTATTTAATTGATAACGTGCACATACAAAGGCACTCATTTGACGATTGCCAAAATTCATTTATATCAGATCTATCTTAGTACACACGAAAGGTTTTTTTTTAAAAAGTTCGCTTCACAGATCATAACTAGTGGTTTCTTCGTTTTTTATGCCAGTTACTTTTCTGACTTTATTTAAGTTAAATCCCATTGCGAACACCATTCATCATCCTATTAAACTATTATTATGATTAGAACACGCGAACATTTTTATTTGTTAAAGATGGCTAAGAAAAAAGAAAAGGGAGAAGAAAAACAAATTAAATCATGTCACGGACATTTTAATAACAGAATAGACTCTTCTATGTGATTGAAAAAGACAAGTAAAAATGGCCTAAAGCAATGAATTATCTTTTAAATTAAATTTTTCTTCCTCTGTGATTAGTCTACATTGAAATCACCCAAATGGTGTACCATAGTTGCCGAATTAGAAAAGGAAAGACGCAAGCAAAATCTATTTTCGCCAACGGACATCATACAACAGTAAATTGCATTGTATTCTGTAGAAAAAAATCTCCTTAGACTTAAATTCTTTGCTTGTATCAAATATAAATAGGTTTAGAAGTCAAATAACGTAGACGATAATAAAAGTTTATCGATCAAAAACTATAGTTAATCCAAATGAAACGCATTGAAAACTGTAGAAAAAAGCTTATACTCACAATTAATCTTCGAAATTGTTTAAATTTAAAAATCCGAAATTCTTATTTTGTTAGTCTGTCGGTTCACTTTTTAATATTAATATGGAAGAAAATAACCTGAATCTAGAATTCCGACTGGGTTTGATATGAAATGATCGAAAAGAAATTCAAAGTTTTTGCTACGATCGAGAACAACAGTTATTATAGTTTTATGTTTCATAGAGAACTGATATCCCTAGAGAAAGTACTGAGTTCAAGGTACCCATGTACTGAGAAAGCCTCAGCAAGGTACCCGATATGGGTACTTCGAAAATTCTTAGTAATTATACTAATGTAGGTACTGCATTGGGTACCCA